GGCTTCTAGCATCATCCTCGTAGATGGTAAATATGCAAATTTTTAAATTTTGACCATACGTGCCCGGTTTACAAGTTCAAGTTTTATCGTTACAATTTAAAAAAAGACATAAGCGGATGGACGGCTTAATAGAATGATTTCTTACGTGATATTATATATGGTGGATATAAACTGAACAATAAGTTTTCCATCATTCAATTCAATTGCGACTAAGCAATAAGTAAAATATACTCGCATTAATTCTGTTCAAGCTATGCGCTCCTAACAGGGTAAATTACTATATAGATAAAAATTTCTACATCTTTGTTGTGTTTGCCATATCAAATGTTTCGACGTGCTTATGAATAGTTGCCGCTTTTACTTTTTAACTCTTTCCATCTTAATGCCTATGCCTGTTAGGGTATTTAAGTATGGGCAATTATGTAGCTCTTCTGGAATATATATTTTTATTGCAAAAAAAAAGAAAAATGAGAAGATGAGAAAATTATGTCTGCCTTCGGACCAATTTTTTTTTTTTTTAAATGACTAACTTGCCTACTTCGTTTTTTGTCTCGTTAATTGTGGATTAATTGGCATTAACAAGCGAATCGGGACTATGTTCATTCTCTAATACGTATTCAGGCTAAATTTTAAAACAATATTCGTGAAATCAGATTCGTAGCCTTTTAAAAAATATATATTTAAATTATGTGGTTGCCACATAAAACAAGCTTAAGGTATTTACGTTTGCTTGGTTTTCACAATACATAAGAGCAAACAGCAAACGAAAGAATATGTAGCGAGTTTTTGAAGAATATTTTTGGATCGCACAAACGCATTGACAAAATTAGTAGATTATCAATTGGCTGATGGTTGTTGGTGTAAAGATATATAAATTAAAAAAAAAAAAAAACCAAAAAAAAAAAATTTGTATTTTGGTATACTTGTACATATGCTTGCACACACATACACACACACACACACACACAAACACAAACACACACACACACACACACACACACACACACACGTTTAAGCCGTTTATGCAGTTTATTAAAAATCATGCACATTCGTATGCACTTTCAGGCACTTTTAGGCATTTTTAATAACATAATATGTGACATTAATTGAATGTGTGGTCTATAGCGTGATATGAGGATGTGATAAAAAGCATTAATGCAGTAACGTATCTATCCATGTCCGTACATATATATGTATATGCTGAAAACATAAAAATGTTTTAAAATTTAATTAAAAAGCTGTACTTAAACTACATTTTCATATATTTGTATATTAATGCCATCATCGACCGCAGCATTATCCTCCTCAACATCAGAATTATCATTGTCATTATCGTTGGATTTTATGCATTAAATAATAAAATTTCAAACTATTTCCTGTTGATTTTTATTAGTTTTTAATTTTTCTCTTCTTTTTTTTTTGTTTTTTTCTTTTAGCTATCCATGTAATAATCGCTCATTTTACCATTAAACTAATTAGTTTTATAAGATTATTTTAATTTTCCATTCTCATGCCGAGGTTAACACATATCCATGCAAAAATATTATTGTCTTTTATGCATTCATTCAATCGTATAATTTCGATAAAGTTGAATTCATTGGTTGTACAGCGAGGTTAGCTTTTCGTAAGGTGGCTACAGGGTGCCGCGCATTCAATGATACTGTTTTACGTGCATTTAATGGATAAATAACTTTTAAAGTATTCCTTTCTGATTTGTTGTTGCTATATTGGGATGACAAAGAAAATGCAGAAAAATATATGTTTTTAGAAAAAGAATTACAATTTTTCTTTTTATTTATTTTTTTATACATTTTTTTCATTTTTTATTTCCATTGGCATTCACATTTTCAAGTAATGCATTAATGCGGATAAATTATGCAATACCTCAGTGGCAGCGATAAGCACTAGAATTCAGTTAAGAAATAGAAAAGTAACGGAAGTGAAATTATTTCCGACTTGGGGCGAATTTTTTAATACCCATCATTAGCAATGACATCAAATCACCTTAAGAATATAATTACATATTTATAAAGTATATATACATTCATATGCCATCGATGTTGGATTTTTGTTTACAAAAGTATACACCATCAGTATATGGTAACGTAGAAGGTGAACAAATTGTTGTTTCAAATCACCTATACTAACAGTATTGCGTTTGGGAATTGTCAGCGAGAGGAAATCAATCTAGCTTTGTGGCTACCGATTTTCACTTGAGACTTAGGAAGTGTCATCCCTTGCGTAAAACGAAGAAGATAACAAAATTGTTTGCTGGTTTTTCCAAAGAAACTATGAAAGCGTGGCAGTTGTCCCAAAGCAATCCAAACTCTTTATTTTCTTAATCTCTTGTAGTTAATGTCTTAAGACAATCTTAGTTCAATATATACGATCTAATATAGTAGCAATACGTTTCCCATATACGCTGATATCTTAATGAAATCTTCCTTCACTAAATTCGATATTGGTACACTACTCTTCAGTTTTGCGAATATCTCAATACATTATGAAATAATTTGATGTAGTCGTAGCCACACATCCAAGTAGCAAGCGCAGTAATATCAAGTGAACCAGTTGCTTTAATGAAATTGGCAAAACATTTAAAATCACGAAAAAGTAATTCATTAGTGTTACAACGCTCTTATATAGACTAAGGAAACGTCTTGCAGTTGACGCGGTTTTCCCTCTCTAATGAATTTATTTCCTGGGAAAATCAATTATTTGCAATGAACTGGATTTGGAATTTCCGTAACACTGCCCTCCATGTAATCTTGTTCGTCCAGAACCAGGTCGTTTCAATACGCGGTCAGTCAGTCCAGGTGAACTATTTTGAGTCTTCTTCTGCACCCGGAATGTTTTTGTATTCGACAGATTACATCATTTATCTTTGTAATGATTTTGTACGACCCTTCCCAGTTATATCGCAGTTTTGGTGCCATACTTCTTTTGCGTAAGGGGATGTATAATAATACGGATTCTCCTTCCTTAAATACTTGAGCGGTAACCCTTAGATAGTATCTTGCTTTCATCCTGTCACTTACGATTTGCGTTCTACTTCGAACCTATCGGGATAAGTTGTCCAAAATCACCGTCGTTCTAGCAACATATTCGGTCTCGGTCAAGTCTGCAAGTAGCATCAGCATAGGTTAGACGCGAACAAAATATTTGTCGGGAATAGAGCAGTGGTGTTGTTCACTGCTGACCTATATGCCATTAAAAAGATTGGTGTACGTTCATCCCAGTCCTGTTGATTATCGTCGAACACTTTTTCCAGATGTTCTTGGAGCGTTCGATTAAACCTTTCGACCATTCCGTTAGACTGAGAATGCAACGGAGTCGTTCTAGTTTTATTAATACCAAACATTTGGCAAAGCTCTTGAAAGATTAAAGATTCGAAGTTTCTGCATTGCCACAAACCGCGTAACCCAATTGTTGACGAATACTTTGGCTATGGTGTTTGCCTCTTGGTTAGCTATGAAGTACACCTCCGACCATATACTGAATTGGTCAGTGACTACCAGTGCATATTTATTTACGGTATTGCTGGCTGGAAATGGTCCAGCAATATCCATTGCGACTCTGTCAAAAGGTGTACCCGCGTTGTACTGTTGCTCGCGGCTTATTTTTCGGGCCTTTCGATTTGCTGCACTGATCGCAACTGCGAATTACTCGATGCCTACCCAATAAAAAATTTGGCTTGATCTTTTCAATGGTTTTTGTGATGCCAAGATGCTCTCCGCTTTGTCCGTTCTCGCTTGTAGGGTTACCAGTAATTTCTTAGTCTACGAAGTATCCTCACTATACCAGATGAGCCACAAGCATCCAACTTCCACGATGGGGCTTTGTCACTAAGTCCAATACGCCTTCGTAATCGGACTTTCCTTTGCAATCTGTTCCCAGGTGGGACGCTTTTTCTTTTCTATGGCCTTTCATGTCACGTTTAAATTTTTGTCGTCAAACTGAACAATCCGCTTTCCATTGGACTCCATAGTAGTCCGGCGGGAGGTGGCACATCCTTTATTCTCGTTCCTTACGCAGTGTGGGTCGTATGGACGTCAGCATGGATAGCGTCTGTGTTGCCATGAGATTTGACGTTCCTGTGAGAAATCGAGAATTGGTAAGTTTACAGTTTTTCAGTCCACCTGGCCAATTGTCCTTCCGGTGCTTTGAAGTTGGGTAACCATGGCAGAGCAGTATGTTATGTCCTTAAGTGGAACTGTTGCCCATACAGCTACTTGTGGAAGTTTTTGTCAGTATGGAATTTTGTCAGTAGGTCTCATCGCGTAACGCAATAGTTCCCCTCAGATTTGGATAACCGTTTACTGTAGTAAGCTATTACCTTTTTGATAACAAGCCTTCTGAGCTTGCATCGGTATCCAGTATAAATTTTTCTCCTGGCACTGGATAAGCTAAAGTGGGTGCCGCACATAACAGCTCTTGCAACTGCGTGAACGCGTGCTCTTGAGACTCCCCCCATATGAAGGATCGATTTTTTTTCGTCAGGTCATGCAGCCCACTGGCAACCGTAGCAAACCTGGGGACGAATCTGCGGTAGTATGTACAAAGTCCTAAGAAAATTCGAAATTCATGCAAAATTTTTTGTCGCGACCATTAGTTTACAGCTCTGATTTTATTTTCATCCATGTGAACCCCAGCCGTTGAAACCTTGTGCTCAAAACATGTCACTTCTTTCCAAAGAACATACATTTTTCGATACTCAATTTTAATCCGCTGCTGGTAATCGGTGAGAAACATCTGCAAAATTCCAGCGCAGCCCTTTCAGCACGCAGTCCATTAGGCGCTCCAATGTGGCAGGCGCATTGCATAATCCAAACGGCAGTACGGTAAACTGATGTAAGGCATTGCCAGCGGAAAACGCGGTCTTTTCGTTGTCATGCTCGGCGACGTCCACCTGCCAGTGCCCACACTTGAAATCTAAGGTTGAAAACCCTTGCGAACCTGACAATGTATCTAAGATGTCATCGATTCTAGATAAAGGGTAGCTATTCTTCTTGGTCATTTCGTTCAACTTTCTGTAATCCACGGAAAATCCGGTAGACCCATCCTTTTTTTTTAACAAGAACTACTGGCGAACACCATGGGCTATTCGATGGTTCGATAACTTTTCGCTCTTGCATATCTTTGATCAAGTCCGCCATTTCTCCTCTTTTTGCTGGTGGAATTCTTCTAGGCCGTTGTCGAATCGGATCAATTCCCGCAGTGTTGATTGTATGCTTCGCAACATTAATACGGTCATCCGAATTTGTAACGCCGGAAACGATGGACCAATTTTCCAGCAAAAACTTTTTGGCGTATTTCTTCTGCTGCTCATCTAGATTGCTACTCCATCTTGTTACGAGAATTTCAGCCTCTTGGGATATGTTTGAGCATGTTTTTGGTACTTCGGCTTTATGATTTATCACATATTCGGCTTTATGGCATTGCGTTCTAATATCCCCTTTGTGAACATTTGTTATAACGCTGGTTGGGTTTAATATCCGTTTTTGTATTATTCTAAATAGTTGACCGGTGAGACAACCGCTTTTCCAATAGTGAGGTTGTCTTTTGTACATTCTTTATTCGGTTCGACAACCCATGTCTTGCTTAGTTTTAGATCTCGGGTACCTGTGGCTCGCACTATTGCTTCGGAGTTTCCAGGTATCCTCTGTTGTCGTTGTACTACAATTTGTAACCCTTCGGCTTGGCTGTCGTATCCCACAGTCAATGGCAAGGTCGCAGTAGCGTATTGTAACACTTGCCTTAGCATATCCAGAACGAAGCTATGCTTTGCCATAATATCTATCCTCAATATTACGTCGTCCATTATATCTACTACCAGATATTCATGTTTCATCGAGACATCGCTAATTGAAATATTTCTGATAGCTTTACCCTTAATAGCAGCTACCGCACCTGTTGCCGTCCGGAACATGCTCCAACTAAGGAGTCGAATTTTTCTTTGACCATTGTACTGTTGATAATTGAATAAGAAGCACCAGAAGATAGCTGTCAGGATGACCAAAAACTTGTAACATGCATGTAAAATCGATTCCATTCAAGAAGTTTGCAAAGATTTTTAAAAACGTTTTGAAATCAATTGTCGATCAACATACACCAATTTATGCAAAATATGTACAATTTGTGTAAAAGCTTTGCTTTAGATTTGTTTTTGCAAATTTCAGATAAAAGTCAAATATATATATATATATTTACATAAAAACCAACCAAATATATTATATATAAATTGAACAACAAATAAAGGTAACCAAGCTTGGAATCACTTAGCAAAATATAATACAAAAATATTTAAAGTGCTATGAAACGTTCCGTTTCCCTTGCAGTGATACTAATAGGTGTTATGGTGACGTTATACTAGTTGGTGCGTGTATATATTATTAGTACAAAAAAAAAAAAAAATGTTTTGTTTTTTTTTATTTATTATTAATGCGTTTATCTCTTGACTTTACTATTCACTCTTTAGCTCTGGCACTTCCCAATAGAGTTCATCTTGATGCTGTTCTTCTTTTTGCAATTTACGGAAGCAAGTGCATCTGAGCACTAAGCCTGTGAGAAAAAGAAATAGAACGAAAAAACAAAATGAAAAAGTTTTTTGAATTATTTATAAAATCTTCTTTTTTTTGTTCGTGGTATTTACACTAGAAAAGTTTATCCAACTCACCTACTATAAGACCACCAACTATTGCTATTATAATCGTCATAAACAAACCGAATAGTTGAAAACCTGCTTGGGCTCTGGCTGAGCGTTCATAGCCCTGTGGGGTATACATTACAAATAAGTAAATATGTGTGTGTTTGTTTTATTATTGCATAAAATAAATGTAATAAAATTCATAAAATAATTGTATATGAAATGTGTTTCAGTTATGTTAGAATTTTGTCTGGCAATTTTGTGTTTTGTAAATAAAATTGTTATTGTGTTGCATGGACTTACACCTATTATATGGTTAGAAGTTAAGTTTTTTGGTTGGCTTGCCATTGCTGGAAAGATAGCGCCCAAATCATATTTATAGTCTTCTTTAGTAGCCAAGTATGCATAAACGATAGAGCCCAAGCCGGCGATTATTCCAGGCATACCATGTAGATTATGTACACCGCAGGTGTCGTGTAAACGTAACTTTGCTGTCATTGCAGGCTAAGCAACGAGATAAACAAATTAAATTATATATAGTATCTATGCGTGCGGGTGTGTGCATGTACATTTATATCCCACTATATGCACTTGTTTCAAATAAATACTTGAAATTTTTTAAAAGTTATTAACAACTTGAATGTGCTAACCTTTGACTTGCCCAATAGTATTTCAATAACAATAATATTTTCAATTTTCACCTTAAATCCTCTTAAAGCTAAACTATGAACATATTTAACATTGATTTATTACAATGTTTATATTCAATTTTCGTTTCACAAGAATTTCACCTAATAGTTTCAGTTTCTTGTTAAATCATATCTCTTTTTGTTCATCAATAACAAGGTGAGGGAGTGCCGTCACTATCCGATAAATGCGCGAAAGAAATCGCCCAGAATTTTCAATATGATCTATTATATAAGGTCATCCATTTTGTAGATTTGCATTAAATTTTTTTTTCAATATGTTGCCCAGACTTTGCCGTTATTCGTAAAATATAACAAATTAAAGGTTATACACCGTATAGCAATTGCTAAAACTTATTACGAAAACAGGGAATGCACGGTTACGTTGCGTACATGTGGAATGAAGCGAGTATTTGTTTAAACGGCTTCGTAAACAAGCAATGTTGCCAGTAGGGAAAATGTAAAAGTTCCCTTGATAGTCACGATAAACGATCAGGTCGTCTTGACACGGACAGCATAAACCCCCCATTCGACGAGAGAGGGGTCTGTTTGAAAATATTTCGTGGGCTTCAGACACTACAGCATTGTCCTGTACGCCCTTCCTATGGGTCAGTCAAAAGAGATTCCTTAATTATCAAACAATTATTGTGGTCGATTTTAAGAGGTGTGAAGTTATATTTAAATATAACTAGAAACGACACAAACCTTTTTTTTTTCGGAGAGCTCTGTAAAGCCGTTAACAGAATTCTGTTAAACGAAGTCTCGGAGCGATTTAACTCAAAATACACATAAAATAGAACTTTGCAAATTTTTTTTGCAAAATATTATAAACAAAACATGACGTTTTCCAACTAATTAATATTCGAGAGAACATTTTGCACTGTCATGAATGAGGTTGATAAGGCGAAATTTTGTGTAGCTACTGTGGGCAAACCATGTCTTGTGAAAAAATGAAACTAGGACAGACTGAATCCTCTATTAATAACCTTTCCAACAATCTGCAGGTTATATTAAGTTTTTCTCGGAGGATTTTTTCATGGGACTTTGAAAAGTAACTTGATGTAGGCTAACATGTAAGCAAACTTTGAAAAGTCACTGTGGGCAAACTATGCCCTGTGAAAAAATGAAACTAGGACAGACTGAATACTTTATTAATAGCCTTAGATAACAAGTGACTCAGACTTGGAAAAGCAAAACGAAAACTCTAAATTTACAACCGCTGATTAATAAAAATGTCTAAATAATTAATTAATTCAGTGTTAAGTAGTGTAATTTTGGAAATTAGAAGTTAGAAGTAAGTGCTCCTTCATAGTAAATCAGCTAAAAAATGCATCCAGCCGAAATCGTTGCATTCAGCAAAAAACGCGTTTTTCTGCTAAGTCCAGCGCTGCATTCAGCTAAGTGCAGCATAATCGTTAAGTGCAGCGCTGCATTCAGCAAAAAGCGCGATTTTCGGCTAAGTGCAGCGCTGCATTTAGTTAAGTGCAGCATAATCGCTAAGTGCAGCGCTGCGTTCAGCTAAGTGCAGCATAATCGTTAAGTGCAGCGCTGCGTTTAGCT